CCAATCGACAGATTGTCATGAGAAATCCGCCGTCATCTTCTGGTGGGGTCGAGTTTATAATCTCTTCACCACACTTTCACTCGAAATGGAGGCAAGCCTAACAATTATGAAACAAGGTAATCCTGGAAACCCAAATTTCCTTCGCAATATAATATGAGTCTTCTTTGCGCTTTCGTCAATTTTCACATAGATTTGCCCTCTGTTTCTGCCTCATCTGGGCCTCATCAATACTCCCATCATCTTTTCTGTGATCCACAGACTCTCACAGTCGTGTGACGTAGTGGTGACTGGTGGAATTTATACTTTGCACAACCCTCTGTGGTTGCCGATGAGACCAGATCAGGCGAAATCGAAAGTAAAATCCAGTTTAGTCCAGTTGAATCCGGTTCAGCCAGGATGCCAACAGCCTTTTTGGAGTTAAGATTAAGTGAAATTCAACGGAAAGGTGGGGTATACTCAAGTGATGGTGGGAAAATGCAGCAATCATCATCTTATGCGATTTGGGATGACTGGAGAGCTTAGCTAAACTTCTGCCTGGATGGTCGGTCATGATTGGGTTACGAGCGTATGGAAGGCTGGTCTGCATTGGGGACGAGTCTGTCTTGAGATCCGGCCAAAATAAATGGAGATTTGAGATGTATCCACCCTATTTCGTTTAAGGCGATTAAGGACTGGTAGTTGAAAGCCTCGAAAGCCTACTTACAAACGAATAACAGATGGAGTAATCATGTGATTCAACCTTAATCATACAAGGCCTTCTTCGCATCACGAGCTCTGTAGAGTAGAGTATAAAGCATTTATGGACAAACCGAAGCTGGACTTGAAGAATGAAGATCCACCAATCGCCGGGCCTCTATGCCTCAGATTGGAGAGAACTTGGCGGTATCATCTGGTCCGAGAATTCTCCAAACCGAGTTTTGAGTGGATCGTGGCTTTCCTCGAGATTCGGTCTCATCAAACTCAAGAACACACGCCACAGAGACTCGGACAGCCCAGTCCAAGCCTGAAGACGAATGCGTCTCGGGCCGAGTCAAGTGTGGCTGGGCTTACGGTGGTTTCTGACGCGTTTTATCCATCTCCCTATTTCCACAGCCACCCACCCATATACATGCACACATACAAACACATACGCGCCTGGATTTGAGTAGTCTCCTCGGGGTGTTGGTGGGGCACAGCTTTGTGCAGCTTCCCTCCTTTGCCTGGTCCATGAGGAGATTCAAGTGGTACTCCTTCGCTGGGTGTTATGCTCAAGCCCCCTCGGTTGGGCACAAACTCTCTGTCCACGTGATTGGCACTGACGCCCTGGACTATGTATGCGTGTGTGCCATGGGTATGCATATATGTATTTGTGTGCGTGCTGTACGTATGTGTGTTTTCGGTGGTATGTATGCATACGTGTGTGCTGGTATTTGCGTGCGCTTGTGTGCCTGATATATTTGTGTGTGTGTGTGTGTGTTTATGCTTGTGAGTGTACGTATGTGCACATCTGGGTTCGTGTTTATGTATGTAGGTGAATTTGTGTATATGCGTGGGTATAAAAGATATATTCACCCTGTTTCATTTAAGGTGATGAAGGACGGATAAATGAATTTTCCCACAATCGTGTGAATGGGCCTTACGTTTCCATTCAAATTCACACAGTCTTGCTTCCCAAAAGGTATTCTCATCTGGCTGGAGTGGAATGACAATGCAACCTTGCCTAAACAGGCCTCATCAGCATACTCAGTGCGACTCGAATTGTGATAATGGAGCATATAATCTATCCACGTTACACACTATGTCAGGCTGCCACGGGTACCCTTGGGTCACGGGGCAGACGTGAATTTCAAGGAAGACGAAACATTTTTCCAAGTGCATATTGTGTGACGGAATAGTAGATCAAGCAAAATTGTATTTGTCAATGCAATCAGTTACATTATTTCTTTTTCTTTTTATGAGAGAATTTAAGAGAGTCTTAATATATATGACCTAGTGATAAACTCGAAACGTAAAATAAACGATGTACTTAATTGCCATAGCAATTACAACTTTATTTCATCACCACAGAATGTGATAATAAAAAATTCACATCGCCCTGTGACCCAAGTGCACTTGTGGAAATGTGGCATAGTGGTTGATGTGTCGAGCCGATATG